GGAGGAGGGGGCTCCCTATTTTATGCGAGAAAGACCCCAGGAGACCGAGGTTGAGGGGGTTTGGTGACTTGCCCGAGTGCACACAGTAAGGGGAAGAACCAGGGCTTGAACCCCTCATCCAACTGGAAAGCAGTGCACTGCTCAATCCCACTGTATTGTGTCTTCTGAGCAAAGTACACGTAGAGCAGGGGAAGGCTGGGAGCGTCTGGGGCACGTGCACCAGGAGGAAGGCTGGGAGCACCAGCACCGTGGGGAAGGCTGGGAGCATCTGGAGCCCCTGCACCCTGGGGAAGGCTGGAAGCACCTGCGCTGTGGGGAAGGCTGGGAGCATCTGGGGTACCCACTCCACGGGGAAGCCTGGGAGCCCCTGGGGCACTTGCACCAGGGGGAACGCTGGGAGCACCTGCGCTGTGGGGAAGGCTGGGAGCCCCTGGGGCACCTGCAGCACCAGGAAGGCTGGGAGTGCCTGGAGTACCTGCACCGTGGGGATGGCTTGGGAGCCCATAAAGAATGGGTCTGAAGTCCAGAGGAGGAGCTAGACACAAAGGAGTTGGCAAACATGTGAGTTCTGAATTTCTTTAAGTGTTGTGCGATTAAGTGCGAGCAGGTGTAGAGAGAGGGGTGTCTTTTGTGCAGTGGAGCTTGGGGGTGGGGGCTCCTGTTGACCCGAGTCAGGGAGGGCCTCTCAGAGGGCCTGGCTGGGTGAGGGAACGCTGAGACAAAGGACAAGAGAATGCCAGCCTGGAGAGGAGCAGGTGAATGACCCGGGTGCAGGGAGGCGGGTGCAGCCTGAGGGACTGGGCAGGGGGCGGAGGAGAGGAGGAGAAGACAGCGGGGTCATGTGGGGCCTTGAGGCTCACGACGAGGAATCTGGGTTTCAGCCTCTGGAGTTTAGTCGTGGCTGGGACTGTGTGGTCGTGTGTGTCCCCAGGCCAGGCAGGGCAGTCGGCACATAGTGGGCACTTAATGTGAGCAGACAACCATTGCCACCTAGACCATCAGCGGGCACTGAACTTCAGCTGATCCAGGCCCCGGGGGAACCGCCCAAGACATAGCCCTTGGCTAGAAGGGACTGGAAGTTGTGTGCACACCTGTGTGTATGCGTGCATGTGTGTGCACAAGTGTGGGGTATGTGTGCTTGTGCACATGTGAGAGTGTGTATGCATGTGTGCATGCATGTGTGCGCAGGGGTGTTCACATGGGTGTGCATGTATGTGAGAGTGGGGTCTACATGGGTGTACATGTATGTGCATGGGTGTGTGTATGTATGTGTGCATGGGTGTGTATGTATGCATGTGAGAGTGGGGTGTACAAGTGTGCGTGGGTGTATGTGTGTGCATATATGGGTGTGTGTGTGTGAGAGTGGGGTGTACATGTGTGTGCATGGGTGTGCATGTATTCGTGTGAGAGTGAGGTGTACAAGTGTGCGTGGGTGTACGTGTGTGCATGTGTGTGTGTGTGAGTGGGGTCTACATGGGTGTGCGCATGTATGTGCATGCATGTGTGTGTGTGAGAGTGGGGTGTACATGTGTGTGCATGCGTGTGTGTGAGTGGGGTCTACGTATGTGTGCATGGGTGTGAACATGGGTGTGTATGTATGCGTGTGAGAGTGGGGTGTGCAGATGTGCGTGGGTGTATGTGTGTGCATGTATGGGTGTGTATGTGTGTGTGAGAGTGGGGTCTACATGGGTGTGCGCATGCATGTGCATGCACGTGTATGTATGCATGTGAGAGTGGGGTGTGCATGGGTGTGCGCGTGTATGTGCATGCATGTGTGTATGTGTGTGAGAGTGGGGTGTGCATGGGTGTACATGTGTGTGTGAGTGGGGTCTACGTGTGTGCACATGGGTGTGCATGCATGCGTGTGTATGTGTGTGAGTGGGGTGTACATGTGTGTGTGCATGAGTGGGTGTGCATATGGGAGGGTGTGCATGTGTGTGGCAGAGGCTGAGGGCTGTGTTGGTGGTGGTGAGGTTAAGAGGTGCCTGGAAGAGGAGCCCATCATCCGGAAGCAATGACCGCAGTGCTTGAGGAACTGGCCAGCACTCCTCCACTTACTGACCTGACAGACTGTGAAAGAGGCAAAGTCCCATCCTGGCTGCTCTGATGGGACTTGTCGTGCTGAGCCTTGTTCGGGTTTAGGAGGGAGCCTGGAAGTGAGGAGGGCCGGCAGAAACTGCCACGGACGGTATTTGTCCCGGAAAACACGACTTCGAAGAAATGACCTTATTTATCAGTGAAGGCCCTTGAAGAGAATCCCATGGATTGACAAAAGATGCCCGGCTCGGCCAACCCCAGACTATTGCCCCGACGAAGTACAGCATGGCTGCCAACATGACAAGAACGTGGCCACGTCAAATCACACGCAAATGCACACGAAACCGCATGCCGCCTTGCAAACGTTCAACAGGACAGAAACCAGAAGAGCTTACTGGAAAAGATGTAAATATTTTAACGTTCTGCCCGTTTCTCCTCTTGTTCGCATTCATAATTTAAACAAATCTTGATTTACATTTTTCTGTTTCCACCCAGGAGAACAGAGATCAGATATTATGCCAAGGACGTGGTGGCACTGTTAGAGGGTGAAGCCCCAGGCAGGGATGCAGTTGCTCCCACTGTGTGTGCCGCTGTGTCACCTGCCTCCTTCCTCCCTGGGGGCCACCCCGGCCCCCGGCCCCCGGCCCCCAGCCCCCGGCCCCCAGGGCGAGCCAGACACCACAGCGAGCCCAGCCGGGCCGAGAGGAAGCTGGCGCATGTCTGTCCAGGTCACTCCAGGGAGAGAGGAGCTGTGTGGGACGGCGCCCAGCTGGCCCTCCCCCGTGGGTAAACTGAGGCTGGGTGATTGGGAAATAGCACGTAGAACCAAACACAAGACGTCCTGACTCCTGAGTGCTTTGTCTGTCATCCCATTGTTCTCGCCAGGGCTCTCTCTGCAGAGCATCCGCACCGACAGGACGGATTTGGGAGGGAGAAGAGCTTTGTCACAAGGTGCAGAGGGTTTCAGAGGCTGCTGAGGGCCGCCGGCCTGGGGGACACTGGGCAGGGCCGAAGGTGCAGCTCTAGTCTGAAGGAGGTCTGCTGGAGAATCCCCCTTGCTCAGGGAGGCTGCTCGGTTCCTCCAACCCTGCCTCCCCCTGACTGGGGAGAACCCTGCTTTGTGGAAAGCCATCTGCTTTACCCAGAGGCCTCTGACTTGTGTTAATCTCCCCCAGAAACACCCTCTGAGTTGACGCATAGAGTCATCGCGGGGCGGCCACACCAGCCCGTGATTGCCTTGACTCTCCTCCTTGTGTCACGTCTCAGATAAAATCAGGACCCGTCCCCACCAGCAGACCCTAAGAGGGTCTCGTCCACCACAGCCCCTCCAAGGAATGCAGACAGATGGAGCAAACCAAAGCACAGGACGCCCATTCGAATCTGAACTTCCAGTAAACCACAAACATCCCTTAGTATACGTTCTGTGCAGTATTGGGGATCTATGTCAACTAAAAAAAAAGCACCTGTTGTTTATCTGTGATTCAAATATAACTGGAGGTCCTGCATTTTTATGTGGCACCCTCAGCCAGCTTCCCCGGACCAGCAGACCCACGGCTGTCACCATAGCACATGGCCCAGACACCCTGGGGCCCCAGAACCCCACCCCCTGTCCTTTGTGGTTCTGCCTGGGAGGGACGTCCTATCCGAGATCAGCCCCAGCCCTCCCTGAGGCACACAGCCCACTCACTGGCCTGAAGGGGGCTCTAGAAAAATCCCAGCTTTTGGAAGTGAAGAGGGCCCAGGTTACAGTCCTGGAATCCCCATCTGGCCCACCTGAGGCCCAGCTTTCCTTCCTGGGAGTGGGTAGGATGGGCACTCGGTTTCATACGCATGTGGCCCTGGGGAGCCAGACTCCGGCTCTCTGGAGCTGCACTGTGCCCCTTGTTCTGTGATCTTGGGCAAAGATCACCGAGAATTTCAAGACAGAAGCGGCAGAACATTGAAACAAGCGTGGGCCCCTGAGCAGCCTGGCTCCACATCCGCTCCCAGGCCTTCGCTCTCCCAGAGTAATGGCAATGGCCTGGCCTCACCCTAGCCCCGGTCTCCTGGCTGTGTGTGGACCCCACAGGGCCTCCCCAGCAAAGCCTCCAGCACACAGCATTGATTTACATCCAGGAGGCCTGCCTGGAGGAGGGAGGGCACCTCGTGGTGAGGGCACCTCCCCTCCTCCCCCGGCTCCCAGGGAAGCAGGAGGCCCCCACCTGCTACAGGGTTGGGGTGTCAGACTTGAGAGGAGCTGAGCCAGAACGGCCCCGAGGAGGCGTTCTAAGTCCATCCTGCATGCCCACGAGGCCAGCTGCAGGGACCGGGGAGCCGGCCAGCGTGCCCAGCCACACGGACCCCATGGACGGGCCCCGTCTCCCACGGGTGGGACACCTGACCCACACCCCTTGCGATTCCTCACCTAAACCAACCCCCACTGCATTCCTGGGGAAACTGAGGCCAGAGGAAGCAGCTCCCTGTAGATCTGGGGGACTAGAGCCTCAAAGGCCCATGGCCCTGCGGTGGTGGAGTGCGTCCTGCCGCCCTGTGACCTGTTTACGGAGGGCTGTCCCCCAGACACACGCAGACACTGCCATGCTTTGGGTAAAGAGCATCATAAATATATTTCTGTACAGATAGAATACAATAAATAGCTGGTACAAAACACTAAAACAGCATTGAGCCCGCTTCCGCATCTGGGCTGGCCAGGGCAGCCGGGAGAGGGCCACCGCGGACGGTGATGGGGCCCCGCTGGTTTTGAGGTAACATTTTGTGTGAACTTTCCTTTTAAAGAGAACTCCCTGCAGGACGCGCAGACTTGCAGGACAGCACGGGGCTCCAGCGGGCCACCTGCCCGGCCGCCCCGGCTGGCCACCACGGTTGCCAGGACAGCGAGGCGGACAGGCGTCCCCACTGGGTGTGGGTCGGGGACGGCCGAACGCTGGCTTCCCCAGGCCTCTGTGTGGGGTGCAGGGGTGCCATCAGCCCGTCCTCAGCTTCAGTACGCGGGAGCGGGGCTCCTTGGCGCTGGAGTAGAGGAGGTAGGAGCCGGCCGCGGTGCGGAACGCCTCCCAGTCCCTGCAGCCGAAGGTCGGGAGGCTGTGCACGGCCACGAAGCCCTCGTAGCCCTGCCACCTGCGAGAGACACGCGGTCAGCCTCGCCCCTGCAGGCTGAGCGGGGGAAGCACAGTGGCGCCCTCTCCAGGCCTGCGCCTGTCCCTCCGCCCACCCCCCCACCCGCGCCATACTCAGCCTGCAAAGAGGGAAACTGAGGCCTGGAATGGGCCCCCTGCCCTGTCCAAGACCCCGCAGCTCTGGGCGGGGCGACGTGGACGGGATCCTGGCCGTGCCAGAAGGTTAACTGTCGGGGCTGAGCTGGAACCTCCCCCCACTCCTGGGGCCGGTGTGCACGGCGAGCGCGCGCCCCAAACGCACACCTGTCACCACACCAGCGTGGCGCCCCTTTGTTTTCAAAGGGGGTAGCAGCTCCTGGCGCTGGGCGACCCGCCCCCACCCCCCAGCCCGCCGTCATGCCTCCTGCAGAGTCAGCGGTTCTAGGCTTTGCCCCCCAAGGGATCCACGGGCCGTGGTTCCCGAGGGTGGAGTCCCTAGGGTGGGGCGCCTGGGTCAAAGGGCAGGAGTGTTTTCATTTGGGTATTTGTCCAGGTGACTTCCCGGGGAGGCTGGGTGGTTCCTGTCCCGACGGCCTCCGTGTGCATCCTCCCACTTCGAGGAAACAGCTCTTCATGCTCACTCACGGTTTTCGCATTTTCTTCCTGTCATTCCTGTTCATATCCTTGCCCATGTCTCCCAATTAAGACAGTCTTTTATCTGGGCGCCTGGGTGGCTCAGACGGTTAAGCGTCTGCCTTCAGCTCAGGTCATGATGCCAGGGTCCTGGGATCGAGCCCCGCATTGGGCTCCCTGCTCCGCGGGAAGCCTGCTTCTCCTCTACTTCTCTCTCTCTCTCTCTGTCTCTCATGAATAAATAAATAAAATCTTTAAAAAAAAAAAAGACAGTCTTTTATCCATTTGTACAGGTTGCTTTTCTGTCAAATGTGTGGTCAGTTGTTTTCTTTGATTTTGAACGGGATGCCTTTTCCGCAGAAACCCTGAAGGTTAGGGAGTCGCCCTGGGGCCTCCGCCGGCCTCGTCTGAGGAGGTCCCCGAGACCTCCCGTGCAACTGCGTGGTCAAAGTCGCCTTAGCCTTTCCGCTAATGTTTCTGCTGCTTGAGTTTTTACATTTAGATTGTTAAACCCTGTGAAGTTTATTTTTCTACATAATATGAAGCAGGCTACAGCTTTGTTTTCCTCCAGACAGACAGGAAGTTACCTACAAGTACGCGTCCTTTTCCCATTGACTAGAACACACCAGTCGCATTACAGGATGTAAACCGCGGGCTCCCCTCTGGGCTGCGCACTACTCCACCTGCACGCTTGCTTTCGGCAGAAACCATCTGCTGTCTCCAAGCGATGGGAGCCTCCTTCACTATTCTTCTTTTTCAAAATTTTCTTGGCGACCTTTGAAAATCTATTCTTCCACATGAATTTTAACACTCCTTTGTCATGTTGAAGACTGTACTTTCTAATAAGTTAGAAGGTCTAAAGAAAATCAATGGTTTTTCTAGTAAGATACGGACGACCCAGATTGTCTGGAGAGGAGGTGAAAAGCCTGGTTGCACCAGTAACCATGGGAGAAATCGGGGAAGTTGCTCGAGAGACACCCCTGGAAAGAAGCCAAGCCCAGGCGGCTTTATAGCAGAGTTTAAGCTAACCGCAGAGAAAACAGATCCTGCTATCTGAACTACCCCAGTCCGTGGGTGTAGGTGGAAAACTCTGCGTGTGTATTTACTGAGTTGGGCTCCAGATCAAATGGGATAAGGGTAAGTCCCCAAAAGAAAACTGCAGTCCAACTCGTGTGCTATTATGGACGCAAACACTTGAAGTCAGTCCCGTGCGCTGGGAAGACGGCGGCTTCCTGAGCCGTCAAGATCGTTCTGGAATTTCTAGCTAATTAAGAAAACTAGTAAGGAGCACAAAAATTAGAGATCAAGAGGCAGAGTGGCTTGTACTCACGGATGTAATTATACCCCTAGAAGTTCCACGAGACTCTTCTTAAGAAAAGCTAGCAGACCTGAGATGATAATTTGGTTGGGCGGCTAAACACAACAGTTAACTCACGATAAGCAGCTGGAAATGGAAAGGAAAAGGCCCCAGGTGTTGTACTCACAAAACTTGAAAGCCTCCCAGAGCGAATTTAATGCTAAGGCCCAGCGCCTATATGAGGACGCGCAAACGCGTACTGAAGGGCTAAAGGGAGAGACCCACCACGGTCCTGGACGGGAACATCTCATAGAATAAATTACCAAGAACTCTCAAAGTACGGTGTCGGAAGTCTGTAGCACGGGCCAGAATGCAGAGGTGGCGAGCGTCAGTGTGATCCGCGGGCCACCTGTCCCACCCCAGGGCGTGACCCAGGCTCAGCCTGCAGCTCGCTGCAGCGGGTGGTCACCTGCCCTGCAGGAAGGTGAGCCCCCCAACCCCCCAGGGAAACTCAGGTGACGAGGAAGGGGGCAGCCCTTGGAGGCTCTTTACCTGTAAATAATACTGTTTACAGAGAAGGTGTTTCCATCAAAGGAGTTTGCAACCACCAGGAAATAATCTTCTCCCACCGAGAAAAACTCCCAGTCCAGAGCACTGTGGAGACAGGGGAGCGGACGTGAGTGAACCCCGGGGCCCTGACTCCAAGCCAGTCCTCCTAATCCCAGAACCCAGGGGCCCTATGCCACCCCAAGATCCAGAGCGATTTTCTCACACGTTGAATAGGGTCCATTCCAGGGAGGTGCAAACCAGTTGTTTAAAATTTTTTTAAACATTTTTAAAATTTATAAAATACAACGAGCATGAAATGTGCCGTCTTGACCATCCTCAAGCGTATGGTTCAGGGTGCTGAGTACGTTCATAATACCGTGCAACCATCACCAGCATCCGTCTGCAGGACTTTCTCACCTTCCCAAACCCAACCTCTGTCCCCGTTAAACACTAACCAGCTCCCCCAGCCCTGGCGCCCCCACCCTACCCTCCGTCTCTGAGTTCAAGTGCTCGGGGGGCCTCGTATGGTGGAGTTACACCGTATTTGGTGGTGGCCCATCTCACTGAGCATGGTGTCCCGGGGTCTGCGTGTGGTGGCCTGGGTCACTGTCCCTCCCTTTAAGCCTGGCTGATACCCCGCTATGTGGAGGGACCCGTTTGCTCATCTGTTCATCCATCCGTGGACGGTGGGCTCGCTCAGTGCTGCGGTGGAATGTGGGCCAAATCTCTCACTCTAAAGCAGTGGAAGGAATCAGAGAAGAGGTCCCAAGCCTGCGGTCACTCCAGGAGGGCGTGCAGGACCCCCCCCCCCACCGGAGGCAGGTTTGAGGACACTGGCTGTGAGGCCACCCATTTGCCCCGTGGCTCCTTGCCTGATACCGGTTTGGGGACCGACAGAGAAACGTTCTCCTACGTTCAGAAGCTGTGTTTCTTACTGCAAACCCACGCACTGCATTCTTCTGAGGTGGGGAAGCCGGGCCCCCCGCGTGCAGCAAGCGGGGCTCAGCTGGGCGCTGGAGGCCAGGCCTGTGTGTCTGTGCGCGGACACTCAGAGCTGCGGCCTGTTCAGGCAGCAGAAGGCCACCCTCTCTCAGTGGACACTTGCCTCCGGGTCCCTTCCCTGTGGGGCCCGAGGGTGCTGGCCTTGAGCAGGGGCCTCAAACGGGCCCCTGGGACACTCGGGGGCAGGGCTGAGGCCAGCAGGGGCCCCACCTCTACCCTCTTCCACCAGCAGGACTGTATCTGGGCCACCTCAAGTAACGACCGGCTACGAGTCTATGATTCAGCCCCGAAGTAATGATTATAACCAGCATTGACTCTATGATTCAGCCCCTGCTGTGCTCCTCGAGGCGCGGCCGCAAGTGGCAGGCATGCGGTGCCGCGGGCATCCGTCCGCCGGCCGAGATGGGGAGAAGGTCACACTGTGTGCCTCGCGGCTCCTACCAGACGCTGGGTTTGCTCGAGCGCAGCAGGAAGTGAGCCGTCGGGCCGTGAGTCCCTGCTGGGCCCCCAGAGCGGGTGTATTGCCATTCTGCGGAGCCACGCCATTCAGTCAAAGGTGGAAAGAACCCAAATGTCCATCAGCGGGTGAGGGATGGGGTCCACGAATGGATCCACCCATATGATGGAACATCGCTCAGCCGGGGAAAGCCATCACGTGGAGGAACCTTGAGGCCGCGGCCGAGGAGAGCAGCCGGGCACCAGAGGTCGCCTCCCACGTGATTCCACACGGACAAAATGTCCAGGACTGGGAACGAAAGTAGATGGCTGGCTGCTGGGGCGGGGGTGGGGGTGACAGCTGAATAGTAGGGGGTTTCCTCTTGGGGTGATGAAAACGGCCTAAAACCCCCTGGTGATGGTTGCACAGATCTGTGGATTTAATAAAAATCACTGAACTGCAGCAAACAAACCAACAGAGCACACAGTTGGAAAGCAGGTAGAGCCAAGGTGACAAATAGGAGCCCCAGAGTCACTCAGCTGTGGCTGGAGGAGGTTCGCACATGCGGTGCCCTGAGGCCACAGTGCACCCCAACAGATGCAGACACGCATGCACGTCAGAGCCGCTGCGCGCGGCTCCGGGATCGCGTGCTGGGCTCCGGCCGAGCCGCTCCGTGGGCCCTGCTGCTCCGTGGGCCCTGCCCTTCCCACCCGCCCCCGCCGCAAGGCGCACCTGCAGGTGGGAATCTCCTGGAACTTGACGAAGGTCTGCGCGGTGACATTCAGCTCATAGATGACCGAGTTGACGACGTAGGAATCATTGTGCGCTTGCATCTCCACGTCGTAGCTGTGACTGTTAGCGACTGCGAGGAAGACCCTCTCTCCAATGTGGAAAACCTCCCAGTCCGCGGCGCCGAACGTCTGGGACAGAGCGAGAAGGAGGGACGGGCGACCCTCAGCAGTGTCCCAGCGCTGCCCCGGGGCCACACAGCTAACCCACAGACACGGCTCGGGCACCCACGGCACAACAGACCTCTGACCGGCGGCACTGCCCCGTCTGGCTTTGCTCACCTCCCAGCCTCACTACCACCACCCCTGTCATGAGTGTGGGTGCCCAAACGCACCCAAACCCGAAGAGCTCATCTGTGCAAAGTGCTTCTCAGCCTTCCGTGCCTCCCACTCCCCTACCCCCGATGCTGCCCGTCCTGCAAGGTCCAGCTGCTGAAACACCTTTTCCAGGGAGCCCTCCCTGCTTCCTCCAGTCCCAGCTCTGACCTCCGAAGCAACCTCTAGACACTTGTGTTTTGGACCACATGCTGTCCCTGGACTGAGGCTTTCTCTGGACTCCATCAACAGCTCCATCTCTGGGCTCCCGTGCATGCTGTTCCTCCATAAATCTCTTATCAGCCTCGAGGGTGAGGTGTGCATGGAGAAACAAGGCTGGTATGCGAATGGTGAGCTGTGGAGCCTTTGCCCAGAGCTCAAGCTGCATGAACTGATTTGCACGTGGGGCTCACGAGGAGGACGTTTATGTCTAGGGTGTGGCCAGCATCTCAGGATTATGGTGGTGCAGGTTCACGGGGAAGGAGAGGACCAGAGGAGTCCAGATCCAGGCTCTGAGTCTGAGCCTTGAAGAGAGAGGGTGGGGGTGGAAATGGGTGGAGACATTTTTCTGGGGAAACAAAGGGTCAGTGCAGGGAGAGGCCCTTTGGGCAACCACATAGGAAGACCACAAATGGTGGGGGTCGAGCAGGAGAGAGAGAGCATGGCTCCCCGTGGTGGGTCTGTGGCTGATGGAAGAGCATGCAAACGCCCCCGGGGAGCCTGAGCCACAGGCTCAGGAGTGACGCTGCCGGGCTCTCCGTTCCCATGTCAGCAGAAAGGGGGCTCCATTGACCCCATCTGTCCCCATGGACTGCAGAAGCTCCAGTGGCTCACTTTGCATTGAAATTGTCTTTGAAAGTTTGCCTCCTGACTTTCAGCTTCTGATGCAGGCTACCATGGCCCTCCTGCTGACAGCAATTGCAAACGCAGTTGTGTGGGCAACCTTTTGAAGGTTCTGGACAGTGGCCAAGGGCAAGCAGACACTGGAGGGGCCGTGACCCCTGAACCAAGGGAATCACAGGCACATGGTGCATGTTTGTCTGACTTTCCCTCTGAGGACTCCTCACCCCACACCACATGACCACGGCACTCGAGTGGGTGCAACAGGCTGGCTGGCTGGGGGTCCCCAGGAGAGAGTCTGGAGCTTCCAAAGTGGCTAGAAATGGCAGGGGAATATCCGAGAGAGGAGGGAGCCCCGGAAGGGGGAGCCCCAATGTCGCCATGTTAACCTCTCTCAAGTTTTTGTCCAGCTCCTGAGCTGCACACCTGGGGCCAGCGTCCAGGGACCCAGGGACAAACAAGTCGAGAGGCTAGAGGCTCACGCAGAAGGCAAGTGTGATCTACAACTGAGAGAAAAAAGTGAACAGAAATGTACCAGCAGCCACAAACACTGAAGCTGGCAGATGCAGACTCTCCGATGAGTACAACGAGAGCCTCTGGGGAAATACGCACGCGGTGAGCAAGGAATGGGGACGTCCGGGCAGCTGTGAACACTGCAGCAGCTGAAGAGCAATCCCGTGACTGAAATGTAATATCTAGATTCAAACATTCACGGGATGGGACTGACAGCCCCCCGGCCGTCCAGAAGGGACAATTGGGGAACCGAAGGGACACCAACAGGAATTACCCAAATGGAAGCACACAAAGGGGGAAAAAGGTTCTCATACACGTGAACAGAACCCATGCTCCATAGGATGATATGAGGTGACCTAACCCACAGGTGAGTGGAGTCCCCAAAGGGAAGGAAAAGGAGACAGAAGGAAACATTTACATGCATGAGGGCTAAAATATTTCCATATTTGATTAAAAACACCAAACCACAGATCCAAGAAGATCAGAGACCCAGAGGAGAATAAATACAAAGATCCACGCCTGGACACAGGCAGCTGACAAAGAAGACAGAGCGAGAAGCCTGAAGGCAGCGGGAGAAGACACGTCCGGGACCGCAGGGCACGGCGACACCGGGGACGAGGGAAGCTCAGTGTCCACGGAAAAACATCCTCAGCATCATTGAACGGAAAACATGTAAGCCCTGAATTCTAAAACCAGTGAAAATAGCCTTCACAAATGAAGGCCAGCTAAGGTCATTTTCAGACAGACTGACAGAACGAATTGCCAGGGGGCCCGCTTTACGGGGAAGGCTGGAGGCGGCCACGGGGGCAGGCGAGGGTGTGCGGGGGATGCGCGGCCCCGGGGAGGTGAGCTCGGGGCGCACGTGGCCCGCGGAGCATGCACAGGTGGCGGGGACCCTGTGGTGTTCCAGCTGTTACTCCTGCATACCAGTAATGAAGACGCAAGAAAAAGTAAAATGTGGGCAAAGACCTGAATAGACATTTCACAAATGAAACTACAGGAAGCCAGCAAATGGGGGGGGGGGGACGTGCCCACTATCTCTGGTCCCCAGAATTACAACTTTGAAGACACGGAGAGACCACTTCATACCAAATGTGTAAAACCAAAAATACTGGCAGAGGCCAACGTGTCCTCCTCATCTTGGACCCTCCGTGTGGCCAAGGCGGAGCCCAGAGGAGGCGCTCGGTGCCCTCCAGGTCCACCTGCCCTGCGGAGGGGCACAGGGGGAGCCGCGCGAAGGAGGAAAGCGTGGGGTTGGCAGCGTGTGAGGCCCCAGGCATGGGTGGGAGGCGGACGGTCCGTTCCTTCCTCCCAAGGGTAACTTTCAGCTTTTCCCGCTGCCAAGACAATCGGCACGGGGTAACACATCCAGGGTCCGTGTTCCACAGCCTCCCCCGAAGCAAGAAAGAGATCGGTTTTCAGGACTTTAGGTCCGTCTGAGGCACGTCCCTTTGCTGTGTAGCTCCTGCAGCAAGCCGAGGGCAGGAAGTCACCCCCATACCTTAAAGAAGGCATCCCCGCTGGCCGCCGTGCCCCCTCACACAGGGACACTCCTCGTGTTTGGGCAGCAGGTAGCTGTTAGCACCCTCCCTCCTGTACATTTTGGTGTCATGCTCAGGGCCGGGGTCTCAGAGGATTTCTGTTGCATCAACTAGGGCCCGGGCCCAGGGACGCAGGGATGCCCAAAGCCACGCAGTGGGTAGGCTGGGGACTGGGCTGCTTCCCTGGGGACGGTGCGTCCCGCCTGGGGGCAGGTCCTCCCTGTGTGGTCCTGGGTTGTCCCGGCTGGACCGGAGCTGGCTGCACTGCAGGAGCACCCTGGGTCCACCACTGCGTCCCAATGCCCAGCGAGGCCTGTGCTCGAGGGACATCTCACATTCCAGACCAGCCAGGGCCAGGCTTCACATGCCTCCCTCTCCTTGGCACATCTGTCACCTGCTTGGATGTCGCTGTCCCCACATGCAAACTCGGGGTGTGCGGCCCAGCCTGTCTGCTTGTCCCCCTGACGACCGGCCAACCCAGCCACGGGGCAAAGAACAGACTCTGCGGGTCGAGGTGGCATTTTCTCCACGCCCAGCAGAGGGTGCCATTGTCTGCCGTGGCCCAGCCAACCGGCCGGTGGCGGAGAACAGTCCTCCCGCAGCCCCTGAATGGGCTCCTAGTCCAGGGCCTCCAGAAACGGGTCTGGCCGGTCCTGAGGAGCAGAAACAGGTGAGTTTCAGCTAAAAGAATAAGACTCACTAGGACAAGGACAAAGGGGCCCGGACACCTGGTGGTCACTGACTCCGTGCAGGCTCCAGGACCTGGGCTAAGGCTCCTTTGGATGAGTGTGTCCTCTCCTCACTGCGGCTCCATGAGGTGGCACTCTTTCTGTCCCCTGGGGCCGCCTCACAGCATCCATGCAGGCTCAGAGACACTTGGGGCCCATGGAGCCGTCAGCATTGTCCACAGGACACCTGCTAGGGACCTACACCTGTGCAGAGAGTCCCACAGGGCAGCTCTGCGACTCCGCAGAGGCCACACGGGAGTCGTCAGCCCGCCAGACCACAGGCTCCCTCTAGCCCTGTGCGGAGGAAACCACGCCGCTGGGAAACTGCACGCTTGTAAATGCACAAATCTGCACGCACACACATACGTATCCACACATGCACACACACCTAAGTGTGCCTGCATGCACACTCATGCGCACACATGCACACACATATACCTGCACGTGCCTGCATGCACACACGCACACACATCCACACACACATATACACATGTGTGCCTGCATGTACATGTGTGTACACACACCTGCACGTGCCTGCATGCACACACAGGCACACACGTGCACACGCCTGCGTGTGCTTGCACACTCGTGCACCGATATGCATACATCCACACCTGAACACATATACACCTGCACGTGCCTGCATGCGCACACGGGCACACACGTGCACACACCTGCGTGTGCTTGCACACTCGTGCACCTGTGTACACACACGCACACACCTGCACACATGCATACACACGTGCACACCCTTGCTGTACAAGTGGCCAGCAGGTGGTCTGAGGAGAGGCTCTCCCCAGGTGCCAGGGCTTCCTCCCAGCTCCAAGGTGCGCGACCCTCAGTCGGTTCCCTCGTCTGCAGTCCCAGCGTGGTGCAGATGGGGGGACTGCGGAGGGGCTGTGGGCGGCTCCGGGAGCACGGGCAGAGGAGGTCCCATAGGCAAGGAGGAAGGCCGAGGGTGTGGCTGGCAGCAGGAAGGAGCACTCAGGTGTGTGTGTGGTTTAGAGGGGTCCTCATCCTGCCTCCGGTCTGTGTGTCCCCCCCAATACTGCAAGGACAGGGGTATCTCATTCAGTTTGAATTCCAGATAAACAATGATTTTTCAGCCTGTGTGTATCCCGTGCACTACTGGGGACACGCTTTTACTAAAAAATTATTCATCATTTACCTGGAATGTAAACTGAGCTAGGCATCC